GCAGAAATTTCTTCTATTGCTTACATCTTATTCATCACTTTACTTCCATCTATTCATTGTAGTATATATATGCAGCCACAACGCTAACATGTACGAAAAGAAAAATGCGTGCACGTGCATCGCACGTGCCTTCACTAGTATTTATGAAACGAAATAGGCACCTTTACTGTCGGAGTTATGTGATTGGATAGAAGTACCATTTATGACATCAATCTATGTCCTTTAAAGAAGAAAAAAGAAAATAATCAGTCCCACGAGTTTCTTCTTCGTTTTGTCATTTCATTGCTTGATAATCAAACGAAATCCATAATAATCTCCTGTAGAACATTACAGCTAAATCAACCCAAAAATCTAGTTATAATCACAACCCTTTATCCAAAGAATCACTTTTTGTTCATTAATATGAAGATCAAAATCGAAAAACAGAGTCTTTTCATCATCTTAATTTCAGGGTTCTTGTTATGGAATCGGGTCGAGTCGATCGGGTTCGATCTGGAATCTGGGCACACCAAATGCATAACGGAAGACATAAAGAGTAATTCCATGACCGTTGGAAAGTATCACGTTGTTAACCCTAATGATGGCCACCCTTTGCCTGACTCTCATAAAATCACTGTCCGGGTAATTATTTTTGTTTTTTATGAATTGATGATTGAAAATAAAAATATTTTTTAAATCTTCTACCTCTCAAACCCTTTGGTGTCCTTTTTTTTTAATTACAGATGAATTTTGGTGATAATCATTCTGACAAGTTAGAAATGAAATTTTTATGCAAAAGAAATATTCTGAAGAGAAGGTTTTATTAATCTAACAAACTGAATTATTTTGGTAATAATATTTTATTTTTTTTCTTCATCAATGGGATTGAATCTATGTATACAAATTCTTACTCAAAGATTTAAGAGAACAATTTGCATGTTTTGTTTGTTAGATTAGTCGAAATGAAGACTTTGCTTGGTTTTACATTATTCTATGTTAGTTTCTCCTGTAAATTAATGGAGTAGAAAAGGTTTGACTTAATTCTGTTTATACCTTGTAGGTGACATCGGCGTATGGGAATAGCTATCACTACTCAGACCACGTGACGGAGGGGCATTTTGCATTTCAAGCTGCGGAGGAAAGTGATTACATGGCTTGCTTTTTCGCAGATGATCACAAACCTTCCACTACTATTGCAGTTGATTTTGATTGGAAGTCTGGTATTGCTGCCAAGGATTGGGCGAACATCGCCAAAAAAGGTTCTGTTGATGTAAGTGCTCATTCTTCTACATCTTCGCTCTTCATCGTATTTATGCACGTGATATTATTCTGTATATGGTTCTAAGTTGAAAGTGAGCTTAATTGTAGATTTGATCACAGAGTGTATCCTTTGTTAAGTGTAATTTACATCTTCAGATTGTAGTCTGCAGATTACTTTTGTGACTTGCTCATGGATTTTGCCCATCTCTAAAATTTCGTTTAAAAGGTCTTTTTATGCATCAAATTTCCAACATATCCTTAGAAAAGGCATTCCTTCCAATCCGTCATTTACCTCCCATCCCCTCTATCGTCACTGCCTGCACAAGTTCACATATCCCCCTTCCCCTGTCATCCTCCCTGCCCTTCCTTTCGTCCCCGTACTTGAGAGCTTCCTGAGGATATCCAAAGCGGCTGCTCCGGATCTCCTAAAGAGGTTCCCTAGCCAAAAAAAAGGTGGGTGGGGGGCAGATCTAGAGTGTGGGGCAAGGTTTTATAATAGCAAAAATGGGGGAGGGAGTGATTGGGGGAGGGGATGCAAGGTTGGGGTGAGGAAGGAGGAGGAGAGGGATAGTGTTGGGAATATTACAAAAACTGATTCTTGTTCTGAAAATGTTGAAAAAAAGGTCTTCCTTTTTTTAATTTCTCCCTCCGATTTGGTCCTTCCTAAACAATTCTCTCTTTATCGTTGGGTTTATCAATTTTTTTCTTTTCTTTTGATTGTGGAACCTATACCAAATTTAGGCCGAGGCAGCTAAAATTTATCTTTGGATTGGAGTCTATTTTGAGTTATGGCTTCCCAATGCTCTCAAGGACTATAATTAATTAGCAGTTCATGAAATCCTCTTTATATCTTTCTTTTCCTAGAGTTAGTTTGATATATTGACTTGTGTTATTCAGAATTTTATATAGTTATCTTGTTCCGACTTTGTCATTCTGCGTAAAAGATAACTTATCATACTGCGTTAAAGATAACTTGGTCTAGTTGATTGGAGATATACAATAACGCCGGAATGCTATAATTGGAAATTTTAATAAAATTATAAGCTGTTTACTTTTCTTTTTCAATTTAGTAATTGTATTCTCACGTCCCAGGTGATGGAATTAGAACTGAAAAAAATGTTTGATACTGTGCAATCAATCCACGAGGAGATGTTTTATCTTCGTGAAAGGTGAGCTAATTCAATTCTATTTTTCTAAAGAAATTTTAGCCTGTTTAGTAAGGTGAGCTAATAAATCTCGGTCTTGTTCTTGCACTATGTTTTCCACTTGATAACTGATGTAGAACCTTATTTCTCTTGTATGATTGATTATTATTCCAGGGAAGAAGAAATGCAGCAACTTAACAGGTCGACTAACAGCAAAATGGCGTGGTTGAGCGTTTTGTCGTTTTTTATTTGCTTGTCCGTGGCAGGAATGCAGCTATGGCATTTGAAGTCATTCTTCGAAAAGAAGAAGCTCATTTAATGGTGTTCTGAATCATCCTAGTTAGTGTTTTGTACTCATGAATTTGAAATTACCTATACACAAATCTGAACGGGTTTTTTGCTTCATATATTCTGATGCAGGCAGGGTTCATACTAGTTTTTTTCTGATTATTGTACAACTTTGTGTGTCAAAACTGGAAAAAGGAGATTGGATGCTTAATCTATGCTGCACTGAACTTGCAATAAGTATCAGTTAGTGTTCAAAGGTTTTCCGTGAATAATTTTGAATAGATGACCAAAATGGAATCACGGGGTTCAAGTTGAACAAGCACGTAGGGGCTATTTTGGGATAGTCTGTGATTTTACTTCTACTTTTTAGAAAGGAGCTTCTGAAGGAGATTTTTGAAAAATTCTTTTAAGCAAGTAAAATGCTTTCATAAAAGAAGAATTATCCTTCATAAAATTACCTAAACATGTTCAAAAGTAAATTTCTAGTTCAAAAGCAAGCAATTTTTGACTCTATTAGAGTCATGTCAAACATGCTCTTAATTTGCCGATGTTTTTGTACAAAGATGATGTTGTATTATGAAATCTCACGAAGTGTCTAGTAGTAGGGTTGAAAATATGAATTAACATTTTAGCTCTCCTTGTTGCCCAAGTACAACTTGGCCGAATGAAGGGCATAAAGTGCAGTAAAGAAAGAAAATTGTGCGAGCCTACTATATGAACAAGCTCATTGACAGGCTTTTGGCGAAATTTCATTGACAGTTAAAAAGAAGTAGACAAAAAGCAGCCAATTAAAAATTGAAAACTCATCATAAATAAGCCCTGTCATTGAGCCTGTTTGACTAGTTTAATTCAAAATTGTGTGACATTAAGCGTACTTCTGAAGTTACTCTAATGTGAAAAGATGAAATGGTATGATTTTCTTAGTGTGTTGTCAATTAAAAGCGCTCATCAACCATACCGAATACAATAAAAGTGTCCTATATTTGAGTAGAAGACTTCATAACAAATCATCACTACAATAACAAATGTATAATTGTCTGAAATTATTGCTAGAAGTTGGCCAACTACAACAGATTGCAACTCAGAAAACCAGATTGGAGAGTGGACATTTATATATGTAAATTAAAACACAATTTGTCACCCACTTCTGAGATCAGGATGCTGGGACTGTAGAAATAATAGGCTTGTCCGAGATTAAATCCAAATGGCACGATAAAGCATGGGCAAACGATCAGTCTTGCAAACTTCACACGACGGACTCCATTCAAAACTGATCTTGATTCCGCATGTAGGGGTGAAAGAGGATATTAGCAGATATGAAGTTCCATCTTTCATATTTGGTATATCTCATGTCGTAAAGATGCTCCAGTGATTATCAGATGGTACTATGTCCCTTATCTTTTCGAGCCTTTTCAAGATTTCCAAGAAAGAAGGTCTCTGATTCATATCTGCTGCCCAGCACCTATCAGTTAACCTAAAAACATGTCCAATTAAATAGGATATCAGGAAATCAAATATTCAAGTGACCTTATCGTCTGCTTCGAACACGGTAATGCATGCAGTTCGTTCATAACACTCGTAATTCACTGGCAAACATTAATGAATAAAACTAAAAACTTTTTTGCAGTAAAACTGTCTGTTGAACCAATGTGTTAAAAACGTATACGAATAAAGATATTTTAAGGTCCAATTTAGAGCCAAACATGGACCATAGTTACACATGCACACACTATAAGATATTGTAGTCTACTTACTCTCTCAAATCCGGTATAAAACCTTTGGCCCTAAACATTGGTCTGTGTCCCTCTGCCACATATCTAGCTGCTTCATATGGTTCATGATGTGCCAGTGGTGGTTCACCTTCAAGCATCTGCATTAGTTCACGTTGGATTATATTTCAATCAATTATGGTTCCTTACTATTCTGATTCAGGACAAACATCAGAATACCTCGTATAAGATCATTGCAAAAGAGAAAACATCAACCTTCTTGTCATATTTTCGGTGTTTGAAGACTTCAGGAGCCATATACCGGTCTTTTATAGTTGCAAAAATACAGAATTAGCTACATCGTCAAAATCCCAGCTTTATATAAACAATTCATAAAATAGTTACTTACAGCTTCCAGTTTCACCAGTCATTTTGTACACGTCATGAGAATTTTGCACCCTAATAAGCTTGCTTAATCCAAAGTCTCCAACTTTCAAATGGTCTGCACTAGAGTTGACAAGAAGAACATTCCTGAAAAAGTACCATATTCAGTTTGACAGCAATTAGAGAAAAGAAAGATTTTCCTAAGAGTTCCCAATACAGAAAGAACGATCTGCAAGCATTTTAAACATAAGTTTTGATTGAGAGATGTGATGACAGATATGTAATACTTATTAGACAACATATGCGCAAGTTTTCACTATTGTATCCAGAAAATGAACTAACCTTGGTTTTAGATCTCTGTGTATTATAACATTTGGCTCACTGTGAAGACAAGCCATGCCTCTGTCAAAACAAGATTTATGAAACTCAACAAGCATACTATACATTTTACATTACTGCATAAATTAATTTATTTACATATTAGACAATCATCCCATATTCTTAAAGTAGGCATATTCAATCACAATACCAAAATATTCCAAGACATAAGAAATAAGAATTGTCACCTGTCCCAAAGCATATTTTGTTCTAAAGTTACTCAAATTAGAAGGAAATTAATTCCTAACCCAACCCCAATACCACAAATATATATATATACTCTTCCAAGATATGCAACATTATATGTTTACCCTGGGCGCTGTTATGGGCTAATAAGCCAAATTATTTTATGCTCCACCCTAGATGCATGCATGACATTGCACCCAAAAAAAAAAGGGGTCAATGTTAGTCCAGCATTTTATTTGGTAATAATGTCCCTCTGATAACAGTATAAAACTTAACCATGTGCTTTTGGCAACAGACTTCATCAGTACTTGTGCAAGTGATTGAGTTCTTCTGAAGAACAACTGACATAATAAAGGGTTTGGAAGTTTTTAATCAAAGACAAAAAATTTTATTCCAATTTTACCTGGCAATATCCAATGCAAAATTGATTGCTGTTGATGGATTCAGTGCCCCCTTTTCCTTTAGGTATTGATGTAGATCCCCCTATAAAGGAATATAAAATGCAACACTTAGGACAAGACTCTCCAGAAGTAAGAAAATTCTGCTTCAACGTGGGAAATGGATTCACTTACCCCCCTCAAATACTCTGTAATTAGCATTAAGGGCTTCCTTTCAGTGACCGCTCCAAGAAATTGGACTATATTTGGATGGCGAAGTTTAACTAGCAAATTTACCTCATGTCTGAAGTCCTGACTGCATGAGAGCACGAAGGCAAGTCATTTTATTCTATGTTAAGGACGAACATGATGTAAATATATGGCTATGATTGGTTATAGGACTAGAAACTCCTAAAACTTTACATTATTTAATCTCAATTACTTATCCAGCTAATGAAGATAAATTCTCTCTTTGTAACCAGGACTAGTAAATGAATGAAGAGTCAATAGCCACTTTGTAAAAATTATAAGTTTTAATCTCATGACCATGCATTATACTCAAATCAAAACAACATATTACAAATAATAAATAAATAAATGTGACATCATAAGCATTCCATAACAATCTTAACGGCTTAACCCAGTTATGAAACATACATCACCAATCTATCATCTGAGAGCTTTGGAAGAATTCGTTTGACAGCTACAGGTGTTCCCCTCCAACTAGCTTTTATTATCTCACCAAAAGACCCCTAGCAATATCAGCCATGATCAGGAACTTTGTATAAAGATATAAATCACACACATAGCTCAACTTACAGAAGACAAATAACAAAAGACAATGAATAAATATTTGATATGTAAACAACAAAGAGCATACCATAAAAATCAAGAAAACCATACGAGTATTTGTAGCAAATGGATGGTCATTCAGTAACATGTCCAACCAACACAAAAATAGAATAGAAAGAAGGTAGTACCATTCCATGAAAGTGCCGTTGGGGGTGAACATGCTCCCCACCCCCCAAATAATAAACAAAAGTAAAACAACAATTCCTTTGAGGAATTAATAATAGGGTATCACTGATATAGAAAGAAGATGGTAATGTACAATAAAAGAGTATAACCACAAATCACCGATGTTATACAAGAATCAAAATATAAAATAACACAAGAAGGCAATTCTTGAGTGCATTCCATTTATTACCAGAATCTACAAACAAATTAATATCCAACTAAATCCTCAAATCCAACTGGTTTAACAAACTTTTCAACAGTAAATGTAACTTCTTTAAATGTTCTACTTTTAAGAATAGAGGCAGATCATTACATTGGTGAAAAGAATGAGATTATAAATTCAAATATAGACCGAAAACATCAATATTTTTGTCCATTAAAAACAGTATCAGATTACTTATTATCTACTGCATCGAACTAAACAGTGACTAACGTACAAAAAAGATTAGATTAGTAATTTTTTAATACAGACCTTCCCTATGATTGTTGAGCTTGAGAAGTCCAGTTCACCAGGATCAACCTCCCAGTCACACTTATTTGGAAGAGGAGGTGGAACAGGCCTAGGTTCAAAATGACTTCCATTCTGGCCCTGCAACACGCCCAAAAAACTAAGCTAATAGAAAAGCATAAAGAAATTATGCATGATATTTTATATATGAAGAGAATATATGATGACCACAACTTAAAATTTAACTGACTTGTGAATGCCATGAATCTCAATACCTCAATCAAACAGGGCTTCAGTAGCTCAGGGTTGGATTGTTCAAGATCAGATTGGAAATAAAAAAAATTAAGGTTGAACTTGTTTCTAGGCTTCTGTAGTTTCTCTCGGCGTTACAGCTAGCAAATATAGTGCAAAGCAACCAAATTGCTTGAACTCAGGTCCAATCTGATTGGTCAAAAATTGATTCAAGCTCAGCTTGAATACTAAGCAAGTCAAGATATAACATTTTTAGGCTTTTTATGTTACCATATGAGGA